TTGCGAACGTGTACGCCAACTCTCTCCGCGCCGCCTCTATTTCCCTCAAAACCGCCAGCAGCAGCTCAAAAGCAGCAGCAAGGGTTTGGGGAGAGGGTCTTTTGCGAACAGTAAAGAAAGGGGGGCCCCCAGGGGGCCCCGCAAGGGGGCCCCCAAGGGGCCCCCCGAGGGGCGCCCCAGGGGGGCCCCCCAGGGGGCCCCCCGTCAGCAGTGAACCCACAGTCTCCTCTGCCTGCGGCGCAGAAAGCGTTTTGGGCCAGAATTTGGGCTGCTGAGGGTCTGGCTAGGGTTTAGGGTTTAGGGTTTAGGGTTTAGGGGCGAAGGAGCTGCAGCAAATATGCAGCTCACGCAGCAGCACCTGTCTCCCGCGAGCTGCTGCTGCGCATTTAACTGTCTCTTTTTTTCCCGCTGCTGCTGCAGCAGCAAAAGCATCTCTGCTGCAGCAGGCAGCCGCCGCGGGGGGCCCCACAGCAGCGCTGCTGTCCCCGCCAAGTTCACAGCTAGCTGCTTGGCTAGCTGGCTAGCCACCCGCCCGGGGGGCCCCCGCCGCCCGGGGGGCCCCCCGCTGGGGGCACCCAAAAGGCCTGCAGCAGACTCAAACCCGTGCTGCTGCTGCTGCTGCTGCTGCTCGTGCTGCTGCTGCTGCTGCTGCTGCTGCTGCTGCTGCTGGAGGCCAATGTAGCTGGACCAGATCTTATTGGCCTGCCTCCTGGGGTAAAAGAGACAGAGAAGATCTGAGAAAGACAAATACCCGTCGCGGTCTCTGCAAAAACCCCAAAACGCATGCAGCGCAATGCATGCAAATGCATGCAAACGCATGCAAACGCATGCAAATGCATGCAAACGCATGCATGCGCTCAGCCAGTAGCCTCTTGGGACTCACTAAAACTCCACACAGACCCCACAGCGGGCCCCATAGGGGCCCCATAGGGGCCCCATAGGGGCCCCACAGGGTCCCCATGGGGGTTCCCTAGGGCCTCTGGGGCCCCTAAGGAGGTCCTGCTGGAAGCTGTACCCTGTGGGGCCTGTGGGGTCCCCTGGGGGCCCCCCAAAAGCTGCTGCTGGGGCCCCTCTGGGGGCCCTTCTGCGTCACTATTTATTATTCATTTGGGGGCCCCCAAAGAGATTTAAATATCATTTTTGGGGATTTTCAAATATTTTTATTTTAAAAAAAAGGGGAAAAAGACTTCTTTTTATACCTGTCGTGTCGCCAAAAGAAAGCCTCAACTAACTGCATGCTGCAGGGCTGCCGGTGGCAGCGCAGCAGCTCAAGCATGCGCCCTGCAGCAGCAGCAGCAGCAGCAGCAGCAGCAGGAGCAGCAGATGTGCAGGCACAGGCAGCAGCAGCGAATGCACGGGCAACTGCAGCAGCAGCAAATGCGGACAGCCTTTGCTGATAGCCTTACAGAAGATGACAACAAGAGCGCAGCAGCAACAGCAGTAGCAGCAGCAGAGCTAAATTCATCAGCAGCAGCAGCAGCAGATCTTAATTCATCAGCAGCAGCAGCAGCAGCTTTTTCGGCACGCGCTGACTTTACAATGGCAGATGCAGCACCCTCAAAGCACAAACACTAACCGCAGCAGCAACAGCAGCTGCACCAACAGCAGCAGCAGCAGCAGCAGCAGCAGGACCTTTGGAAACTGCGCCGATTCCGTCTTTGTCCAAATATCTGAAAGCTGCTTCAGGGTTTATGTCTTTGTGCTGCAGCAGCAGCTGCTGCCTCTTCTGGAGGCCCCATGCTGCTTCCAGTTCTCCCTCCAAGACAAAAGCTACTGCTGCTGCTGCTTCGCTGCTGAGGGGCCCCTGCTGCTCTTCTGCCCCCGAAGCTAAGTGTGGGGCCCCACAGGGGGGCCCCCCGGGGGGCCCCCCGGGGGG